TTTTTAATAAAACAATTATTCCACTCGCACTTGTTGGATATGAGAAGATTATAGCCAATAATTGTTAAATACCTGCCGGAACCTACTCTCTTTAGGTGTCAGATGCTCATGACTTTACTTTGTTTTTTTTTTTTTTCTTGGTACGGGCTTTTTGCCATTCTAAATTGACCATTGTGTGTTTGCTTGTCTTTCTTTAGAAGTTTAACCATTCAAGTAGAGATATCGTCCAATCCATTCTCCTATCCCTGTTGGAAAAGGCCAGCGACTCTCAAAAACAAGATGACATGAAGAAAATTGTGTCGTTTTGCAGGTGATATGAATATTCATCACCGCATTATGTTTGAATCCATTTATTAAGTAAACATACCTAATTTTGATTAGTCGTAGAGGCAGCTTGATCAGTCAAAACATTAGCATTTCGTGCAACACTAACTAAATTGGCTTATTGGATGGCAGAATTTGAATCCAAGTTGGAGACGTGTCGTTTTCATTGTGTTTAAGTCACCCAGGGGCCACGCAGAGTCAATAACGCGCATTTGTCACGAAATGGTGCACTGTCTGAGGATTCGAAAGATGCACAGAGCTTTTTGGCTAACGCATTTGGCTGTATGCCAGTTAAATATGCGTAAGCTATTATAAAAAGCCTTTTACTAAACAATTCTGCTCATTTTTTGTAGAGATAAGCAGTTTGCTGCACAAGTAGATCTTTTACCTTGGATCTGCCAAAGACTGAAATCCCTAACAGAAGGCGAAGCCTTTTTACCTTTTGAAGTTCTCATGGAGGCGAGCCAAGGTATGTTTGAGCACTACAAAGAAAAACTTTCAACGCAAGAGAACCTCAACCGGCGCATATGGAGTCCAAAGGGAAAGTTAGGGCTGGTAAGGACCTTTTTTGTTTGAGTAGAAGGCACTTAAGATGTTATTGATTTGGCTAATAGTTTCATTTGCGTGGAATTAATGGACATCTGCTTTTCCTAGTGTAGTCTACACTCTATGTGGAGCCTGCCTCCTACTTCAAAAATCCTGCGACATTTGTCGCTGGTTGAAGACAAGTTAAAAAAAAAAAATTGATAAACCAGATCAACTGAAAAAGGAAAACGTACAGTCTGCATTAAAGATCTCAGTTGTTAGGGAGCCAACAAACAGACTTATCTTACACGTGCGACTTAGAAACTGAACATGGGGCAACTGACAGCAAATCTTGGGAGTAGCAGGGTGGAGTGATCGACTGCCAATACGCTGAAAAAATAAGGAGCAGGGAAAGTTTTTACAGCACTTTGAAAGTGTCACTAAAATATTAAATGTAAATTCGAAAATGTGGATTGTTTTGAAACCCCAGAGAAGGCTATTCAGAGATGAAGAACAAATGGAAGACGACTCGGACAATGAAGACAGTGACGGTTTTATAAACAATAGGAATCCATACAAGACTTTAGAGCCACACCCTTACATGCAAATGGCGTTTGATTTGGGAATGATGGGATTGGAGAAACTCAAAGAAAGACCCTATGAATGGGAAAATGACCGGTATTCCCATTATCGCCGCTGTCCAGTCAAGGAGAACCTCTCCTTATTCTGCAGGTATTCCTGTCTATGTCTTATCATCACCATTCTCAACATCATCGTTATCACTTTCTCGTTTACTGTCATTTTCATTATGTTCATCATCATTATCATCATCATATCAGTATCATTATATTGTTATCGTTATCATCATCATGTATGGACTCGAAAAGATAAGCTTGTTTCCGAAAAAGTCCTTCGTGTAAAGGAAATCCACCATCAGGTCCATGTTGATAAACCCAGCAGTAACAATGACGAACCATCTTCACATGGAAAGTAAAAAAATGGCTCTACGCGCGGAGAAGACATAGTGTTTTCGAAAATGAGAAATAACGGTTGTATCTCGTCAACGTCTTTATTATTATTATTATTATTGTTATTATTATGAAACTATAAAAAATCAGTGTATCGTATATTGTTGTGTTGAAAAGCACAAATTGGTTACGAGGTGTATTGTCTTATTTGATACTGACAGGGTTGTGTGCTATCTGGTAGAGAAAACATGGCTCACTGAAAGTCCAGAAATTCATCACAAAATTTCCAGAAAAATGATTCGAATTTGGGACAAATCTCGAAAGAAGGCCGACAAAACACGTGCAATTTCCGATGACAAACCAGGATGTAGTCATTGGGAAGATGGTACGCTTTTATTAGATTGTTTTGTTTTTGTTGAAGGAGTGGGAGACAATGGGTGTAGACTGTGCTTGGCTCGATTAATTCTGGAGCGGAATGTGCCAACGCTGACGTTGGGAAACTCACTGTGTTGTGTTCGAAGCCATGCTCTAGTGCCTCTAGAGTATATGTTGACTAAAACAAATGCTATATCCCGTAACGCTTCAAAAGCTTCAGGGAGAAACCATCAAAGTCTAGGTCACCATCAACATTAAATGAATCTGAAAATGTCATTAGATTCTCCTCATGTTTTCGAAAGGTCAACAATTGTTACCGACAAGAGCACTTTACACCCTACGATCGACTATTACTATTGTTGATTTAAGACTCCTGGAGCTCCCTGATTAGGCTTGGCTAGAATAGATACACCTTGAAATGAAGGTTTCAGAATTCGGGAATATCACTTTGGGAATATCACCAGAGAATCCTCTGTTTTAGCTGAGATATTTTCGGTCTTGTGATACATTTAACCGACTTTTGAGAAGATTTATCTTCCATTTGAACCTGCATCTTGAACTCATTTGATCTGCAGCACGATCACAGAGTGTCTCGCAGAAGTCTTCCGAGGATTCCTACCTGCACAAGTTCGTTTGTTCCTTGATTAGTAACGTCGAGGATCCCATGTTGCTCTTCGAGGTAGTCAAAGAGGTAACACTTACAGTAGAAGGAAACTGAGAAATTTTCAACCAATTGAGGGATGATAGGGTGTCCATGGGCCAAAGCTTAAAACTAAGGCTGCGCCTTCTTGAGTCAAAATTTTGTATCAGTTGCAAAAACAAAACAAAAAATAGAACTTATATTTGTGTAGCCTCCTTTGGCGTTTCACGAGTACTCTGTTGAGTGACTGGCCGGGTGAAAGGCTCGAAGGACGGGAGTCGGAATCACAGGTTGAAAAAAAAAGGCATTTTGCTTTCCCTCTCTTTCTTGCTTTCTCATTGCTTTTTGTTATCATTGGTTTTTTATTATTGACATTTTTTTGGGCAGAGAAAGATCTGGGTTTAAAATTCTTCATGCATTATGTCCTTTTGCAGCAAGTTGTCTTGGGTTTGCGCATCACGTGTTTGCTATGCTACATGCATCAGAGTTTGTGGTGTTACTTTGTCTGCTCTCTGATCATAACTTTTTCTTCACAGCTTGGGGAACACCTGAGCAATGAAAGTGCACGTAATAGCTCGTCATCAAGGCTTGAAAGGCACGAAAGACAAGACGCACAGATCAAGGAAGCTTGTCAAATTCATGCTTCAGTAAAGATTCTTCTTGAAAGGTAAAGAACCTTTGGTCCGCATTTAAGAACAGCATATGGCCCGGCTTCGTTTTGAGTTCTTCGAAGTCCAATTGCTTCAGGGTCTCCTTGTACAAAAAGGGCAATCATGGGTTCATGCTTGTGGGATTGAAAGGAAAAAAATCATCCTTTAATAATCATAACTTTCTCAAGTCATCATTTTCTTTTCTTCTCAACTTAGAGCCGTTGATGAATTTTCTAAACTTTTAATTGGCCCCAAGATGGTAACCGCCGTCGAGGAGGTTGCCCATCGCTGCGACCGACGCCGACTTGAACCTTCGGAAGTACTGTTTCAACTAAAGCGCTCCAAGGTTATGAACACAAATATGACAGTCTTACTGAGAACTTCTAAGAGAGCTCTCAATATCTTGGATCCCAGTGGAGCCAAGATAAACGGCTTGACAGAAGAGGTTTCAAGACAGTATCCCATTTTGCAGCCTCTGGTGGATTACGTGTTGGCGGACAAGGAGGTTTATTCGTCGGATGAACGTGAAGTGGGTCTGTTTCGGTCAAACCCTAGCTTTCTCCCAGCTTTCGTTGCCCATGGCTTGTTTCCGGGCATGTTTGAAAGGAACTACTTAGATGACTATTTTTAACTGCAAACAGTTTGTATAAGTCTGAAGGCGACGCCATTGTGACGATGAGTCCATTATGTTTGTTCTTGTTCAGGGTTTTATGGAGGTGAAATAGAAATTTCCATCTTTAGTTGCTATGATTAAGTGTTGTTTAAAAAGAAACATCCAGTGCTGTAACAATTTACCGTTAGACGGCTGAAAATACTGCGTCAACAGAAGATTCAATTGAGTGCAGTTTAAATAGGATCAACATTTTTCACAAAAAACTGGGTGATGTTCAACAGTCATTTTCATGTTTCAGTTAATTTTTTCTGCTAGCTCACCTTAGAATGTTATATTGTTACAGTAAAGCTCTGCTCCTATTTTTAGGGAATTAGTACAGATAGTAATTGGAATAATCAAACAAACCTTTCGTTTTTCCAGCTGCATTTTGTGTCAGAAGTACCTATTATTCGATATGAAAATATAATAATCGCTCACCACTATATTAGGTTAACTTCAATATCGGCAGTAGACTACGAACATTCCTTTTTTCTTTGAACTCCGTCGTGTTTGTCGACTAAGAACAGCGAAAAAGTGACATTAGCACGCACACCTTACTTTTCGTGAGCGTCACTCCAAGACTTTTGTGCAGTGCGCTAACATCAACTGTTTTCTTTTCGCTGATATCTTGTTACTCGCACGACAGACTCCACCGAAAATGAAGGACTGCTACCATTTACGATGATCCGACAGGTTGGGGGTGATGGATTTGCACTATCGCCACTTTTCTACGGTTTCTTGAAAGGACTGGATTCTCCCCAGCACAATGTGGGTGCTGGAAATGAGGATTTCCCTTTCATCTATCTTGTTGAGATGTTTTTTTTTTTTTTTTTAATGCTTCTTTTAGCTAAGGAATTTACTATAATGCAGACTGGAGATAACTCACAGATGGTTGCCAACAATTTGCTGCTTTGAAATTCCAATATGAATTATAGAAATAATTTTTTTTTCGGTCAGAGTGACGAGATGAAATTCATCCATGAGACTTACCAGAGAGACCGGAGAAATGGGCCAATGTTCCTGAACAAATTCCTTACCATGCCCATGTAGCATTGGACTACTGCCGACAACTGCTTTACGAGAATTTCATCGAAAGTAGTCGAAGAAATATTCGTCAATGATCAGCAGTCGAAAAAATATCCTTTTTGGGAAGGGGTTGTGTAAAAATGCGCTTCAGTATGTTGTGAACAAGATGGGTGCCCAGGGGAAGACTTTTGCATCAGCTCGAGTATATTCAGCGAGAAGTCATTTTTTCAGGTCAGGTAGATATGCAATGTACCTGTGAACTATGACAGAAACGATAACGTGCTTACCTACGGATGAATACTTCAATTTGGACGGAGAAAACGCAAATTTTTGGCCAGGATTGGCGTACCACTGCTACTGCGATCTGATAATCTGTACGGAAAGTTTTTAAAGTTTGCAAGCCTAAGTAGTGTTTTTATTTTCAGGAGCCTTTCAGCGATATAAAGGTCAGTTGAACAACTTTAACTTTAACCGCCTCCCGGTTAGCTCAATCGGTTAGAGCGTTGGATTGATGTGCGGGAGGTCGAGGTCGATGGTTCGAGCCCCGGCCGGACCAACACTCAAGGTCTTAAAATAACTGAGGAGAATGCGCTACCTTTCTATAATATCAAGAAATGGATAGACATTCTAGTCTTCTCGGATAAGGACGAATAAACCGTAGGTCCTGTCTCCTGCATCTATTAATTAGTTAATTTGGTTAGGCAGGGGACGTTAAAGAACCCACTCACGAGATTACTGTGATGTGGTCTGGCCTGTTTACTGGGAAGTMGGGGGAGGGGGCATCTTCAAATACGTTTCCTTCGATTGTTTGTAAACTGCTGATGCAGTCCGGCCAAAGTCCCCCGAAGTGTTGTGATGCGCATTTGATCATATCCACATGTTAATTTGCGCAATATAAATATTAAATTATTATTATTAACTAGTGAAATTTATTTCCATTGCGGGGGCTGAACTTAAATTCATGAATAACGTTATTAGTCCGCACTACGACAAAAGCTGCAAAATCAAGACAGCAATGTCGAGCCGAGAACTTATTCAAACGATGTACAGCTATTTTGTTTCCTAGTGGTACACTACTAGCCAAATTTGTTTATAACTTTGCCTCAGTTTAAATTACAGCTTTCATGGAATCCTTGTTAAAATTTACAGAAAGCGCTTAAATCGCTTAAACTTGGCAAACACTATCAAATGAAAGCTGAAATCGTGGTCAGTAAACGGAATTGCCATAAATCTCCATTGCGCATTCACTTGCCAAGAGGTTTTCGTTCTTATGTAAAGACAATTTTCAGTAAACATCAAAACGAAAATCCAGTTAAGATATCGCTACAGGGCAGGAAGATGTTTGAGGTTAACGTTGCTGCCTAAAACGCAGTCGCACAACGCACACACGCAACACACACAAATGTTATTAAAATCTGCAGTCAGAATCACGAAAACAAATCTCATTAGAAAATATTTTAGAGCGTTATTTCTGTGATTACTATAGTTGTAGCGTCATTTTCCCATTAAGAATCTTCTGTTGCAGTTTTAAGATCAGTAAACTCCAATTTTACGTTTGCACTTTTGCTTATGTAGAAAGCATACGCCGTTTCTTTCCGCATGGCTCCCCGCCGTCGAAAACCATTTGTTGCTCATTGTTTAGGTGTGACCCAATTCCACTCAGCGAAGTTCGTACCTGAATTACTCTTATCGAATGAGATTCTACAGCTTAGAAGTCTTAAAAAATTCGAGCAGCACGTAAGTTTCTGCAGCGAATTCAAAACGACGCGGTTTCTTAGAATATATAGCATCGGAAATAAAGATCCCTTTAAACGAAAGGAGAGGTATACAGTGAAAGCCACCCTTGGAGAAAGGACCCGATTTTCAGGTCGCATCGTCCAAACTATTGCCACAACAAATGGTGCTGTACAAAGTAAGTAGAGTAAAAATAGGACTACAGCAGTGATTGGCGATCTAGTCTGAACACGTGCGACAAAACTGTCCGCCGAAATAGGCCAGGTTGGAATTCTAAGTAAACTGTCTCCCATTTTCACCCTACGTCTTCGCCTCAGAGCGCTTAAAACGCGATAGGAAACATAGTAGATACACATTTGAGGAATCAGTACGCACCCTGTCTTCAAGAAAATGGACAGGGCCATCGATGGTGTTCCTGCCTCAAATAGGCGAGGAAGAGTGTGGCAAACTTGAGCCACCTGGCTGAGAGAAGTTTCAGATTGATACTTTCGAAAGCTTGAGTGGTATGGAATTGCAACAATCGCAGATTGAACCCAGCACCACAACAAAGACGCTATGGCTTGTCTTTTTGTCATTTTTCTTCGAGAAGGCCTCACTAGGTTTATATATCTATCGAAGGCGATCCCACACATGCTCAAGATCGAAGCTGCTTTGAGAAGGCTATCGAAAGAAATCGACAACTCGCAAAAGAGATCGCTATGCGTAAGCCTTGGAATATAAGCTGGTGTGATATAAAAAGCCATATCCGATAGGGCAAGGAGGATGTCCACTAAGCAGTGATTCAAAACCATCGTGTTCGTTGTGGTTCGCATCTTGTGGTTCAGATAGTAGGAAATAACGATAATGCAGTTAGTTGATATCGAGAAAAAGATCAAACAAACAGATACGATACATCTTCCAATGTCAAACTCTTGTAGCAGGTATTTCTCCTGTCCGTGTAGTGAGCGGTTGGAGAGATTGTGGAAATGCAATTCATTTGTCATTTTAGTAGGAAAAAAACTCAGTGTTCCCTTCAGAATTTAACCTCCTTAGCATACACAACCAAGGCCAGGAAATTTCCTTTCCTCAGACGTGTTCAATGAATGTTATGGCTCGCTAATATCCGCTGTACATGTTGTGGTTGTCTTTATCTTCCTCAAAAAGAAATGAACTCTGATGAGCGAAGTACATCTTCAATAAAAGACTAGACATGAGCACTGAAAACTTTTTCCCCAAAGCAATCTTTAGAAATTTTTCGTGCGAGAAAAAAAAAGCGAGTTATGAATTGAATATGCCGACAATAGGAATTAGCCAGCGGATCTTGAAAAATATGTAAATAAACAGGAAACTTGAAAGCATTTCCATGTAATTATTGTAATTCAACTTTGGTAGGTGCGTTCACTGTTATTCAATTAAATTGAACTCAAAAGCTCGCGAATATAGTCTTCGTTTACACATTTTTCTTTTTTTTTGTTCTCTATTTCGGGGGCAACGGGCAAGGTATAAGAGTTAAAATGTAATTTAACTCTGATTTAAAAAAGAAAATTCGAATAACTTATTAATGAGCTCGCTTTTGATGATACGAAAAAATGAATTTCACCAGATAACCATCTTATAATTTTTAAGATTGGGACTAAGTTTCTTTAGGACATAAATACCTCAAATTTGCGAAATGAATATTTAACATTTAAGTTTATAGGAGTTAGAATATGACCGCCTGAGAGTTCTGTGATGCTGACGAAACATTTCAAATAGAATTACTTTTAAAACCTCTGATTATTGACATGAATCTCGAAGATGGTGGATACTGAGCTGAGATCCGAATTTTAGAATTTGTTCAAGAATACTTTTTTGGAATGAATGTGTATATTCCCCCTGGTCCTTTATTTAAGACATACTTATTTTTGTGCTTTGCCGTACTTCCTAAGTTTGTCCATTTCCGAATTATACAAATTGTATAAATATTCCTTTCTCGCCTTACTTTCACTTAATAATGTTTGATTCTTAACTCAGACCCTTTCAGTATAAATTACTGAAGTTGCGTCTCGTTGCAAAAATCTGAAATCGGATATCTGGATTTCCAGTGCCCAAGGATACCAAAAACTGAGCAATACACGGATTTGGCGACCATATGATATTTTGTACTGAATCAATTTACAATGCATTATCACTAATAGCTTTTAGAAGGTTTCCATTGAAAAGTCCCTAAATGCAGCTGGGGTCTACGTGAGTAACGCGCGGGCGTGTAGAAGACATCTCTTTTAATTTAGCGCTCTTCCTTTCGCTCGTGACTTGTGCTATCCGCTCACTTCGCCCGTTCATCCAATCTCTTTTAAAAGCGCTATGAAAACAGCGCTGCTTGTAAGGCCACGATCAACCTACTGCCTCGATTGGTTTTGATATCCGCCTCACCACTCTTTCTTTCGTGAAAGTTACCTTTTGCTGGTTGGAAAGGCTCTTTTGGTGACTGTAATCTCGATAACCTGCAATCGGGATAAAACTTAAAAGATCGCGCCGTTTTCTCGTAATACAAGCTTATGAACACGTGCGTTAGTAAGCGGACACGCTCTTTTCGCCATAATCGCTTCAGCTTGCAAACCGGGGTCTGAAATCTTTCATAATGGAAGACAACACTCGCACAGGCCACAAGGCTCACGATGACGCATAGTTTGCGTCCATTAGATTTACATTTCAGCCAACCACGCTAGTATGAGGTTATAATTTTCTTGCATGTCACGCCACATTTTTCCGTGCAGGTGCGCCTTTTTTCCGTTATAGCAACAGTTATTAATCACCGCTATTTTAAAGTGAAAAAGTACTCTTGAGTAACATCCGATAGGTAGGAAGTGTGAGTTCACTCAATTGCTCCAATCAATTTGCCGCTAATCCAAAGTCTGATTTGACATGAAAGTGCGTGTTTGAAAACATCCTGTAATGAATTATTATTTAGCTAAGTGAATGACTAAGATTATTTTTTTGAACGTTTTCAACAAATTAAAAAGGAAAAGGAGAGGTCTGAGTGAATGGCATTTGCGTTCACACCTAGAGGACGAG